CGGCCGCCGCGCGCCATCTCAGGACGGAGCGCAGCGGCCGCAGTTGCGGGCCCCGGACATGGCCTAGGCGTCAGTGCGGGCATGCCCTTCCGCAGCTTGCTACGCACTCGTAAACTCGTCTGTCAGCTGTTCCGAGGAGAGCCACGACGATATAGACTCGGAGGAGTTCTTGGCAGGGACGAGGAAAGGAAAAGCACGAGGATGGGGGGAGGCTGCTCGCCCGAATGAGCGCCATGCCGCTTAGAATTGGAGGCCCAGGGGCAGGACCCATGGCGTTGAGTTTCACCGAGCCCAAGGAGGAGGGGGAGGAGGAGGGGAGGGGGGGGGAGGAGAAGGGGGGAGGGGGAGGAGGAGGGAGGGAGAAGGGAGAAGGGGGGAGGGGGAGGAGGAGGGGGAGGAGGAGGGGAGGGGGGGGGGAGGAGGAAGGCGGCCCTCGGGCTTCGCAGGACCTCCCCGGATGCCCCCCACAGGGCCCCAGCTTTGACCCTGGAGTTCCAGATCGTCTTCCTCGCGCACAAAAATTCACCACCCACCAAACCACCCCAACCCAACCCGAAGGCTCAGATTTACCCTCGATTTCCAGTGGGGGGGGTGTCGGGAAACATCGAAAAAACACATGTGGAACCCTTACCCCCCCCAACCCGAAATTCGGGTCTTCGGGTTGGGTTGGGGTGGTCTGGTAGGTAGTCAAAAATAGGCCAGCACATGTGAAGTCGGCTCCAACCTGTTGCCACAGCCCTCAGAGCTGCCTCCGAGCCTGCAGGGTAGCGAGGGGAGGTCCCCAAGCAAGCGCCGACGATCAATGCGCACTCCCGCCGTCTCTGGCGGAGTCCCCCATGGGGCCACGAGACGTGTGAGGGGCGCGCCGCAATGGGGCACTCGGTGGAGACGGACCCCGTGGGAGCGATTGCCGGAGAAGCGTAGACGGGCCGGGGGGCGAGGGTTTGGGGGCAGGAGGTTCTGGGCAAGATTTGTTCCGCTGCGAAGGACGGGGCGGCCCTGCAGTGGACCGGCACACGAAGTACACGGCAGCAACTGCAGTCGGCGAGGCGAACCATCACGCGTGTTGCAGTCTTCAGTTGCGCGGGCTGACGGGTGGACTCGCCTCAGGAAGCCGCGCGCCGCGCCATCGACCAAAATCTAGCCTGGGGAAGGACCCAACCACATGCAGTTGTGAGTACAGTCATTATGAGTATCGTCTTCGGCGGTGTTCCCTATGGGGCCACGAACCGTGTGAGGGGTGTGCCGAAATGTGTGGCGTGGTGCACAATGCGAACGAAGACGACAGGTCTGAGTACGAGAAACTGAGCGCGAGTGAGTCTGATTGTGAACGAGTCTGCGTGCGGGCGAGTCCTGGGGCCCTCGTTGGAGCTCCCTAGGGGCCACGAAACGTGTGAGGGGCGTGCCAGAATGCGTGGTGGGAGGCATGTGGGCACTGCCACTGAGGCCTTCGGTGGGGCCCCCTGTGGGGCCACGAAGCGTGTGAGTGGTGTGCCGAAGTTGGTGTGGCGGACGCATGCGGGCGGTGGCACGGGGGCCTTCCGTGGAGCTCCCTGTGAGACCACCAAACGTGTGAGGTGTGTGTCGGAACGGGGGTGACGCCCACATGCGGACGGTGCCACTTGGGCCTTAGCTGGAGCTCCCTGTAGGGCCACAAAACTTGTGAGGAGTGTCGAAACGGGGGTGACGCCCACACGCGGACGGTGCCACTGGGGCCTCAGCTGGAGCTCCCGATGGAGCCACGAAACGTGTGACGGGCGTGTCGAAACGGGGCTGACGCCCACACGCGGACGGTGCCGCTGGGGCCTTAGCTGGAGCTCCCTATGGAGCCACGAAGCGTGTGAGTGCTGTGTCGAAGCGTGGCTGACGCCCACATGCGGACGGTGCCACTGGGACCTTAGCTGGAGCTCCCGATGGAGCCACGAAGCGTGTGACGGGCGTGTCGGAACTGGTGCCGTAGCTGGAGCTCCCTATGGAGCCATGAAGCGTGTGATGGGTGTGCCAAAACGGGGCTGACGCCCACATGCGGACGGCGCCACGGGGCCCTTAGCTGGAGCTCCTTATGGAGCCACGAAGCGTCTGAGCGGCACGCCGCATTTGATGGCGATGATGGTGACGATGACGGCGATGATGATGCTGCTGATGGTGATGGTGATGGTGATGGTGATGGTGATGGTGATGGTGATGGTGATGATGATGATGACGATGATGATGATGACGATGATGATGCTGATGATGAGGAGGAGGAGGAGGAGGAGGATGATGATGATGATGCTGCTGCTGCTGATGATGATGATGATGGTGATGGTGATGGTGATGGTGATGGTGATGGTGATGATGATGGTGATGGTGATGGTGATGGTGATGATGATGATGATGATGATGATGATGATGATGATGATGATGATGATGATGATGATGATGATGTCGTTGATGATGACGGCCATGATGATGGTGGTGATGGTGATGATGACGATGATGACGATGATGCTGATGCTGATGCTATTAACGTCGATGTTGATGGCGATGATGACGATGATGAGGATAATGGTAATGACGATGAGAGGAGGGACGACGGGAAGGAGGAAGGTGGAAGAAGAACGCGGTGCGCTGTCTCTTCCAAACGAAGACCCAACACCACAGGATGGTTGGGAATAAAGCCATATAACATGTTAGTTGGATGCGTTTGTTATTTGCAGCCGTAGTGCTTGGCATTCTTCTGGTTCTGTGTTTACGTAATCATTAAATAATTGTATCCGAGGGATTCGTGTTGCTCATTAGATTGAATTCCGTCTGTGAAATGATTGACAATATGAGCGATTTGTTGATACCTGCGCAGCTATATCCCAGGGGACGAGGCCCCGTGGCCGCGCCCAGGCACTTCCACGGGGCATGGGAGGACCAGGCCTCCAGGGACGCCCCCAGACGGCCCCAGGCAGTCCCGAAACGTGCTGGGACGGCCCCAGGGGCCTCCAAGACGGTCCAATGGAGTCCACAGTCACCGAGGCACCGCCCCAAAACGCCCAAGGTGGCCCCTAAGCGGCCCAAGAACATTCCAAGGCGCTTCAAGAGGTTCCAACAGGTGCCGGCGCTGGCGCCAGGGGAGGGGGGGTGTTTGAACCCCCCCCCTTCGGCGCCAGTGCGGGGAGGATTTTGAACCCCCCCCCCTTCCCCTTGGGCTGTCATCGTCGCTGTGTCCCCGCCGTCGGCGCTGCTGGCGGCCGCCGGCGCCGGCGCAGGGGGGGGAGTCAAACCCGCCCCCCTTGGGAGGGGGGGGGTTCGGAAGGGGGGGGGTGGGGGGGTGGGGGGGAGGGGAGTCCCCCCGGTTTTGATCGACGGCGCCGAGTGTTGGGGGGGGCCCACCCCCTGGTTCGAAACGCGCCGCCGAATGTTCCCAAGGCAAGCGCCCGTGAAACGCGTTCTCTCCGATGTTTGGGTCCCTAACAAGCGTTGGCGCCAGGAGCCCATGCGCCACGCAGGGGCCATTTTGACCCGACGCATTCGATTCGGCATCCGTTCCGGCTGGCCCAGTCCGATCTAGTTCTGCTGTCCCGACTGCCCGAGCAGGCCCGATGCTTGCGTGGCGCTGCTATGCATCCTCGGCGCAGCCGATCTGGTCCGACTTGTCGGCCCAGTGCCCAGGCGGCCCGGTCCGAGTTCCTGAGTCGATGTGTGGCGGAGCTTGCCACGCTTTCCTGATGGGGGCAGGGGAGCGGCACAGCTGGGGGGTGCCTCTGGGGGTCAGTGCAAACGGGGGTCAGCCAGAGGTCCGGACTTTGCAGGATCCTGCAGGGACGGTCGCATTGACCCGGGTTTGGGCGCAGGACTCTGCAGGATCTTGCAGGATCCTTCGCATTGACCCGGGCTTGGGCGCAGGATCTGGCATGATTTGCAGGATCCTGCAAGGCTTGACTGACCTGGGTCTGGAGTGACCCGGGTCAGAAGATCCCCGACTCAGAAGCTCGACGCTGATCGCACCATTAGGTTCGTTTTGATGGAAGCCTTGAATTTCACTTTACGTTTTCTGTTTTGGGGGGGCGCTTAGCGAGTTGTAGCGGCGAAGTGGGGGGTGAGGGATGGACAGTTGGCGCGGAGCGCCTGCTGTCAATTGCCACCAGTCGGTTGATTTGCCACTTTCTGTCACGATGTGCCGCTAGGCCACCAACGTCTTGATGAATCGAGGCTTCCTAACAAAACAACAAACGTAATGCACCCCACATGGAAGAAGACATAGGGGCTGCGCTCGTTCAGCCCAGAACTCCGACGTCGTGATTATTTCAGGACCTGGGCACCTCTGGATTTTTTTGGAAGGCTGCTTCCGCGCGGCCGCGAAGGGCAGTGGCGCGCGGCCGCGGTTGCCGCCCCCGCACCGCAGGCGAACGATGCGCTGCGGCCCGCAAGATTTTACGACAAAATGTGGATCCGAGGTCCACTTTTGGCTTTGCGACAAAAGACTTTACGAGATTTTACGACAAAATGTGGATCCGAGACTTTACGACAAAAGATCCAAATGTGGATGTGGATCCGAGATTTTACGACAAAATGTGTCTTTTGGCTCGTTCACTTCCCCAGGACCAGATTCTCATCGCCAGAGGCCGATCCGGCAGCGGGCCATGGTTCAGGAGGCAGCTTCGATCTACAATCACTGGTGTGACAATGACAACGTAGAGCGAGAAAAACGGCTGCGAAACAAACATCCATGTGGGGAAAACGAGGTGGACAGGGAATGGGATATTCATCGAAGGGAATGATTGTCTCCAGAAAATTGTCCGCGATGTGGCGGGGCCAGTGAAAGCGAGCTGGATGAGTAGAGAAGGAGTGACATATTGGTGGAAGAGAACTGTCCAAGGACAGAAGCAGACATGGTTCAACAGAGCGAGGCGACGTTGACACACGAGGATTGGCGGAGGGAGGAGTCCATGAGAATAGTGGATTGTATTGACTGATTGGTAGTGACGGGAGTGCCCTTGGAAGGACAGACTGAGCAGGAGGCCCCTCAGGTCTTCGCCGTTGTCGACGAGGGCGGTGAGAAGGTGGCAGTGTTCAAGCCGGCTGGCCGAGAGCACTTCCACAGGCGCTGTTCACATGATCCAGGGGAGTCACCTGGGGCGGGGAGGGTTAGGAGGGAGGAGGACGGGAAGAAGGATGGAGAGTACGTTGCTGGAGCGGCACGATTGGAGCCTTGGGTGCGCCTTGCAGTGCCAGGGCATACTTCGAGGTGGAGGGGAAGGGGGAATATGATGAAAAGGAGGAGGGGGAGGAGGTGTTAGAAGGTAAGGCTGCGACTGGATCAGAAGCGTACGCAGAGTTACAACGATTACCATATTCTATTTGTTTTGGCTCAGGTATTGATCAGTGGAGCGTTCGCTTTGATCCGCTGTGAAAATCATGTCACCGTTCCGTTCCCGCGCAGTTCCTTCTCCAGGATTTGCATGGTAGCGGAGCGAGTTTAGTTACAGCAGCAGCAGCAGCCGCGGCACCAGCCCCCGCTGCAGTTGGAGATCCAATGCCGGAGTTCAAAAGTCCAGCTCAATCTCAACTTTGCCAGGTTGTGCGAGGCAGCGCATTATTGTGGAGACCACGGTTGCGTGAAAGTGGCGCGGAGGGCCAATCATGCAAGCATGAGGGAATTTATCCAGTTGCCTGCGGCAAGTATCCGCCGCCATGCCAGTCTGGTGGTCTCGGTGGCAGCTGTTCGAACCGATGAGGACGATGCTGATGACGATGACGACAAGATTGATACGAGGAAACAAGAAGATGGGGAGGATTGTGTCGGACGATTTGGATGAATAACGTGATGATGATGATGATGATGGTGGTTATGATTATGATGGTGATGTTGAGAAGGAAGAGGATGGGGATAAGGATGATGATGAATCTGGTGATGTTGCTGATGATGCACATGACGACGATGATGGTGATAATGATGACGACGATGAGGATGATGATGATGATGATAATGATGATAATGCTGGTGATGGTGATGATGGTGCCGATGATGCTGCTGATGATGATGCTGTTGAGTATGATGAATATGATGATGATGCTGCTGATGATGATGATGTTGTTAATGATGATGTGGATGGTGACGATGATGATGACGATGACGATGACGATGACGATGACGATGATGATGATGATGATGATGATGATGATGATGATGATGATGATGATGATGATGATGATGATGATGATGATGATGATGATGATGATGATGATGATGATGATGATCGTGTGGAGGATGAGGTGGGCGATGACGAGGATGGTGTTGATGATCATGAGGATGACGACGATGACGGTGGTGGTCATGGTGATAGGGGATGATGATGATGACGAGGAGGAGTAGGAGGAGCAGGAGGAGGAATAACATAATAGCCGTCACTTGTGACACCTTTCGTCTTCACTTTTGAAGGAGTTCTCGTGGACCTCATTTCAGTTGTCTTAGGTTGGCCTGAGCTCCTGCAGGGCAGTCTTGGGGGTCCATTGGGGCCCTCTTGGGCCGTCAGGGGGCTCTCTTGGGCCGTCTGGGGTTCCCTTGGCCGTGCGGAGGGTGCCTTGGGGCCGTCGTGGGGCCATCTTGGCGCCGTGTTGGGCCGTCGAGGGGTCCTCTGAGGCCGTACTGGCTCCCTCCAGAGGCCGTCTACAGCCAGCTTGGGGCCGTCCTGGAGGCCTCTTGGACCATCATGGGCGCCTCTTGGGCTATCTGGGGGCTTTCATGGGGGCCTTTTGGGGCCAGCTTGGGGGCGCCTTGAGCCACAATGGACTGCCCGCAACCCGAAAAACGAGAATGCGAAATTCCTTAACATACGTAGACTCTAAAGGAGGCCGGGGCAAAGGCGAGAGAGCGAGCGTTTGTCCGCGGCCGTTTGTGCGCAAACGGCCAGCCGCCAAGATATGACTGCGCCTCATCGCGAGACACACGACTTGCCATTGGGACCGAAAACATGTTCGCTTGACATGGCCCGTCGCTCCCGCGACGATCTCCTACCTCTGGGACTATCGCTACTACGGTACAAAGGCGTTGAATATGGGCTTCGCCTTAGGCGAAGCGTATGGTTGGGCCTCCCAACCCCCTTCAAACTTGGTAGCGGAGCTGGCCTATGGTAGTCAGCTCTGGCTTTACTCCGCACCATCCACTGCATTATCTGGTGGACTTCTGACATAGTGGAACATCCGGCTGCGCGCGGGGGAATGTACATATCTACGCACAACCGCAATCACACTTGCAGTGCTACCTCCGTTCAAGTGGAGGCCTCTTACATGAGTCCGACCTTTCTGCGCTACTGCACTCCTGAGGCCCACCCTCTTATTTCAAGTAGACAGCTTTTTGAAGACACGATGCATGGTAACATGCGATACGATACTGCGCCGCCTCCACCCCCGCGCAGGCGAACGACGACGTCACATCATAACCCACAGCCGCAAACATCCGACCACGACTTAAGAGGCCGTTGGATTGGTCGGAGGTGAGGGGGGTGGAACGGAGAGCCCCCCTACCGGGAAATCGGTTTCGGTTTCGTGTTCGTGCGCGCCGCGCGTGCGGGCGAGGCGAAGCTGCGTGGGCGGCCGAGAAGTGTCCCGCCTCTGGCTGCGGCGCGGCCGGACCAAAAGTTCCCTGTCCGGGGACTGGTGGCGCGCGGTGTCCCGACGGTGTCCCGCTGGTGTCCCGTCGGTGTCCCGATGATGATGATGATGATGATGATGACGATGTTGTTGATGATGATGATGATGATGGCCATGGTGGTGATGATGATGGTGTCCCGACGATGATGATGTTGATAATGCTGATATTGCTGATGGTGGTGATGGTGTACCGATGATGATCGTGATGTTGATGATCATGATGATGTTGGTGGTGATTGTATGATGATATTATGATGATGATGATGATGCTGGTGTCCCGATGATGATGATGATGTTGATGATGATGCTGTTGCTGATGATTGTGATGCTGCTGATGATGGTGTCCTGATGGTGATGTTGATTATGATGATGATGGTGGCGATGTTGGCGTCCCGATGATTATGATTATGCTGTTGATGATGAGGATGGTGATGAGGTGGTGATGATGATTTGGATGATGGTGGCCCGATGATGGTGATGTTGATGTCGATGATGATGATGATGGTGTCATGATGATAATGGTGGCGATGATGATGGTTTCCCGATGATGATGATGTTGCTGATGATGATGTTGCTGATGATGGTGATGGTGTCCCGTTGAGGATGATGTTGACGATGATGTTCATGACGAGGATGATGATATGATGGTGATGGTGGTGTTTCGATGATGATGGTGTCCCGATGATGATGATGTTGACGATGATGCTGGTGACGATGATGGTGTCCCGATGATGATGTTGACGATGATGATGATGGTGAGGATGAGGATGGCCATGGTGGTGATGATCATTGTGTCCCGATGATGATGATGCTGCTGTTGCTCATGATGATGGTGTCCCGATGATGATGTTGACGTTGATGAGGATGATGTTGATGATGATGAGATGATGATATGATGATGATAATGAGTGTGTCCCGATGATGCTGATGATGGGGTTGATGATGATGCCTTTGATGACCATGGCGATGATGATAATGGTGCCCCGATGGTGATGGTGCTGGCGATGATTACGATGATGGTGTCCAGATATGATGATGGTCTTGATGATGAGGATGATGATGAGGTCATGACGACGATTTTGAGGATGGTGGCCCGATGATGATGCTGATGTTGATGATGATGATGAAGGTGTCCCGATGATGATGACGGTTTGATGATGATGATGGTGACGAGGATGTTGGTGCCCCGATGATGATGATGTTGATGATTAAGTTGATGATGATGATGTCCCGATGATGATGTTGATGATGGTGTGCATGATGATGATGAGATGATGATGGTGGTGTTCCGATGATGATGATGGTGGTGCCCCGATGATGTTGTTGATGATGCTGATGGTGGCGATGATGGCGCCCACATGATGGTGATGGTGATGATGATGATGATGTTGGCGATGATGGTGGTGAGGTGCTGATCAGGGTGATGGTGTCCCGATGATGATGAATATGATGTTGATGACGGTGATGATGATGATGGTGACGTTGATTGTGGGATCGGTTTTGATATCGGTAGTGAGATCGATAGTAAGACCGAATGTGAGATAGGTTGCGATATCGATTGTGATATTGATACTGGGATCGATTGTGATACCGATGGCCGCATCGATTGCGAGATCGAATGAAACAGATCGAGAAATATCGATTGTGAGATCGATCGAGTGAGATCGATCGAGCGAGACCGATAGTGATATCGATAGCGGGGCCGATAGCGAGACCGACCGAGTGAGACGTTGGTTCCCCCCCGAACCTCCTTATCACCCGAAGGGTGGTCGTATAGGTATTGCCACATGTTGCGTCCTATGGGTCGCTATCGGACGTGCTGTTGGGCACGTCCAGCGCGGCGGGGACGACGCGCGCGCTGCCGGCCCCCACTGGGGCCCCGCCTGTAGCTTCCCTTTTCCGCGAATTCGCTCGCGAGGTGCGCGCCTGGATCAACGTGACTACAGGACTACAGGCAACGTGATCCCCTCTCAACAGGCCGCGGGCGTGGTCTGGGAGGCCTCGCAATGGCCGTGGCCATGAGGGCACCTTCCGCAATCATTAATTTTGGCGCGAATGTTGGCGGTCGCCGCACCGCCGGCGCCACCTGCATCGCGTTCCCCCCCAGCGCGAAGTTTGAAAATCTAGAGGGGGAACGCCAACTGAATGCGGGAACGGCTCTCGTCGACTTTCGCGTCCATGCGGGAGAGCGGATCGACCGGGCGTTCGCCCGCTGTGAGATTACACGGTTTGAGGCCACAGCCGCGGGCTTCAACATTCCCAACTTCCAGATCCTAGCAGTTACCTTATTCAGAGATCCGGGTGTTGGTACATCGCGCGCGCAGCAAATACTACGACCACTACACCGCCAAATGCCAGGACATTAGCAGCAGTTCGACACTCTGCCAGAGCGCACGAGGTCTCACGCCCGCATTGTTGAGCGAACCCCTCGCAACATTGGCGGTGTATTTA